AATCTATGGCATTTCTATACGCCAATAGTGAACTTGCAGAAACAGAGACTAAAATGGTAATCCCATTTACCACCACACCAAAAAAAAATAAGATACCTAGGAATAAACTTAACTAAGGAGGTAAAACACCTATACGCGGAAAACTACAGGACACTGAAAAAAGAGATAGAGGAAGATGTAAACAAATGGAAGAACATACCATGTTCATGGATTGGTAGAATCAACATCATTAAAATGTCCATACTTCCCAAAGCAATTTATAGGTTCAATGCACTCCCCATTAAAATACCAACAGCATATTTCACTGACCTAAAAAGAACTCTCCAAAAGTTCATTTGGAGCAATAAAAGACCCCTAATAGTCATAGCAATCCTGAGAAAGAAGAGTAAAGTAGGAGGTTTCTCAATACCAGATTTCAAGCTGTATTACAAAGCTACTGTTCTCAAAACAGCCTGGTACTGGCACAAGAACAGACATATAGATTAATGGAATAGAATCAAGAACCCAGATATCAACCCAAATCACTATGCTCAATTAATATTTGACAAAGGAAGCACGAACATACAATGGAGTCAAGACAGTCTCTTCAATAAATGGTGTTGGGGAAATTGGATAGACACATGCAAAAGAATGAAACTAGATCACCAACTTACACCATTCACAAAAATAAACTCAAAATGGATACAGGACTTAAACATAAGAAGGGAAACCATAAAAACACTAGAGGCATCCACAGGCAGCAAAATCTCAGACATATGTCAAAAGAACTTTTTCACCGATACTGCCCCTAGGGCAATGGAAGCTAAAGAGAAAATAAACAAATGGGACTACATCAAAATAAAAAGCTTTTTTACAGTAAAAGAAACCATCAACAAAACAACAAGAAAGCCCACTGTATGGGAGAACATATTTGCAAATGTTATCACTGATAAAAGTTTAATCTCCAACATCTACAGAAAGCTTATACAACTTAATAAAAGGAAGATGAATGACCCAATTAAAAAATGGGCAATGGATCTAAATGGAATCTTCTCAAAAGAAGACAGAAGGAAAGCCAAGAGACACATGAAAACATGCTCAAAGTCACTAATTATCCAAGAGATGCAAATCAAAACAGCAATGCGGTACCATCTCACACCTGTCAGAATGGCCAACATCAACAAATCAACAAACGACAAGTGTTGGCGAGGTTGTGGAGAAAAAGGAGCCCTCGTGCACTGCTGGTGGGAATGTAGACTGGTGCAGCCACTGTTGAGAACAGTATGGAGCTTCCTCAAAAAACTGAAAATGGAACTCCCATTTGACCCAGTAATCCCACTCCTAGGAATATATCTCAAGAAACACCAATCAGAAAGGATATATGCACCCCTATGTTCATAGCAGCACAATTTACAATAGCTAGGATTTGGAAACAGCCTAGGTGCCCATCAGCAGATGATTGGATCCAAAAACTATGGTACATCTACACAATGGAATACTATGCTGCCATAAAAAAGAAGGAATTCTCATCATTTGCAGTAACCTGGATGGAATTGGAGAACATCATGCTGAGTGAAATAAGCCAGTCAATGAAAGAGAAACACCACATGACCTCACTCATTTATGGATGATAAAGAACATTACAAACTGAAGAACCAAAGGATAGATATAGAGACAGTAAAGCAACAAGCAGACTGTCAAATTACAGCAGGTAGGGTAGGGAGATCTGGGAGAGATAAGAGATCAACCGAAGGACTTGTATACATGAATATAACTACAACCAATGGACACAAAACTCTGGGGAGGGAGTGCATGTATGGGGAGGGGGGCGATGGTATATGTACAAAGATAATAATTTAATAAAAAAAATGAAAATGACAAGTCTCAGGGTAGGGGAACATATATGCAAATCATATCCTATCTAATAAAAAGGTAATATGCAAATTAACCATCACTCTGTCACAAAGATGGCAGCACCCATAGTCACAAGATGTCGGTGCTCAGTCCTCTCAGCTCCACTGGAGTTTCCCAGTACCAGGGGGATGGCAGCTGAGAGAAGGCAGCGTGAGCATTCCACACCCAGCAGCAGATGGGCCTCTGGACCACAGAGCGCCTCTGAGCAGCAGGCTCAGAGCAGCTAGGCCCCGCAGAGAACGACTGGCGCACGGATTCTGCCAAGGTTCCTGCAGCTCCGCGGGGGTCCGGCATCTGCTTCGTGGGGCTTCTGCCAGGATTTCCGTGGCCCCACCTGCCCAGAGGCCGGGCATTGGGGCTGTCCCGCAGTGCACAGGCCACGGGAAGCGGGACTCTGGGGCTTGAACCAGAGGGGCAGAGCCTGAACTGTGGGAGGGAGTGCAGACGCCGGCCCCTGGGTAGGGGCTTGGCCTTGCCTAGCCCAGAGATTGCGGGAGGGGAAACTCAGGCACAGGAATTACTAGAATTACTAGAGTTAAAAGCAGGGACGTGGGCACAAGGACAGACATGGAGTGAGCAGAATGAAGGTGAACACCAGTGGAGAGGAGGGTCACGGAGTGGTGTATGCAAGGACGTTCCCTGAACGTGAGGAAGCATCCGGTCCATAGGGTGTACTTTGCTGCCCTCAGAGGCATCACAAAAAAAAGTCCTTCCACAGAAAGTCTGAACCCAGGCCGAGGGCAGGGGTGGGCCAAGGTAGCACGCAGGCACTGGAGACCTTCGAAGAGACTCTGAGCAAAGCTGAGGTGCCCTTATGGGTGAGGCCAGGGTGTAGCTTAATGCATTGTTGGGTGGTCAGGGGCCTAAAGTATATAAGCAAAAGCAAAATGACGTGACAGGCGTGAGAGGAGTAGGAGGTGTAAAGGGGGGTAGCCAAGATGGCTGCCCACATGAACCTCATCCCAGTGGCAAGTGCAAGGGTTTGTGCTCAGAGCATTCAGGTAAGGCCCCATGGCGAGGGGAGGGATATTCACGCAATGGGTCACTTGTATATGCTAAAGTGCTTGTATCCAGAACATATACAAAATACTCAAATGCAATAATAGGGAAACAGCTCATTTTAAAAATGATTAAAAGATCTGAATGACTAACAAGACAACCCAATTAATAAATGGGGTATTTCAACTAGAATTACCATCTTCCAGTCATTTCCAACATAAAGGAAAACAAAGAAGAAATACCTGTTTTACATTCTTTAAGCCTTTTGGAAAAGAGTTACATTCTTTAAGCCTTTTGGCCATGTACATATGTAAACCTACAAGAAAGGTGATACTATAGACCTGTAGGGAATGGGACTTATAAAGGAACTAGTAGCCCTGTGCACCAATCAGTGTGCCAGTAGCTCGCCAGTAGCTCGTTGCAGCCCTCCAGTAGCTCTCCACCTGCTGCCCCGCTCTCCTGTACCTTCCCCCACTCTCCTCCTGCATGCTCCTGCTCATAGCTTGCTGCCCTGCCCCCTCCTGTAGCTCTCCACTGCCACTTGTAGCTTGCTACCGCACCCTCCTGCTGATCCGTGATCTGGTTATTATGCGGTTGGTCAACATGCTTCACAGCATAATGACCATTTTCATATTACATTTTTATTATATAGGATGCCCGACAAATGTTACCATGGCAAAACTGAAAGTGTCTACAGTGTTACCAAGTATGCTGTTGACATTGTGTAAACAGACAGGTTAAGGGCAAGTTTCTCCCAATAAGTAAAAAAATTGGAAAATTTTATAGCAACAAAAATAAATCACATAAATGGAAACTAAAAAAAAACAAAAAACAACAACAACCACACAATTTAGTCATGATTTAAACAAGAAATCATACTGGAAATTTCTAATTTTTTGAACAAAATGTCAATTATAAATTGATATATAAGGACCTTGGTTGGTATGGCTCAGTTGGTTGGAGCATTATCACATACACCAAAAGGTTGTGGGTTTAATCTCCGGTTGAGGTGCATGCAGGAGACAACTGATCTCTCTCTCTCTCTTTCTCTCTCTCTCTCTCTCAAATCAACTTAAAAAATTATATACAAGGAGAAAGTTTTTAATTTTATAGCATATGTTGGAAAATAAGACTAAAAAAGTAATAAAGCCTTAGAATGAAGAAAAATTAAAACAGGAAAGGTAAATAGAGCACATAGGAGGAAAGGAGCATAATTTAAGGGTAATATACACAAAGAAAATATAATATCTTTACAAAATCAAAACCTGTATTTTTCAAATTACTAACAAAATAGAAAAATCTCTGAGAAAACTACTCATGAAAAAGAAATACTGATAAAAAGAAAAGCAAAATTAGAATTAGAAGAGATAATATATCTGTGAAAAAGTATAAATATGTAAAATAATATATAAGTCTATATATGGCACATGGATAAGCCACATGTAGTAAAAATATGTAAGATATAACAACTTTCAGTGTAAAGATTGTCTGCACAGGTAGGAAATAAATAGTAAAAGCGAATTGCAGCTATAAATGTAATGATCATTTCATAAGAGATATAAGAAAAATATTAGTATTTGTTTTCTAATGGTGGGTAAATAGGTATCTGCATCTTGTTCTATGTCTTTCTTTGAATTATTTTTTAAAATAAAAATATATTTCAAGCTTCCTTATAAATTAAACTTCTGAAGACTTTACCCAGAGAATCATTTTAAAGCTATTTCTTCTATGACTCAGCAATGCAAATTGAAATACTGCATGTGTGAAAAGGTCCAAAAATCTGTATTTTAATAAATATTCTGGTGTTTCTCCTATAATGTGACAGAGGTTACTGAGAACCTCTACAGTATTTGCAAATAAATAGATATAGATATATTAGAATTCTTCCTCTCTCAAATACCAAGGCAATGACTTTGGATAGTTACTTAAACTACACTCCCAAATTTTGTATCTCTAAATTGAGACTATTCAAAATTATCACATATTTAAATGATATACTGATGTAGTAATAAAAGTCCTTATAAAGTGTATTGTTGCTGCTCACAATAATGCCTTATATATGACTAGATTCAAGTAATATAAAGTTTAACTTCAGAATACAAATTTACTTGCTACTTTTGGATTCCTCTTCCTTGCTGAACCACCTTTTCAGACGTTTCCATGTAATAGCTGTTAAGATTGCAATGATGAGGACAGGTAAAGTGATGTATAAACCTAGAAGCCACTGGTTCTTTGTAGATTTCCAAAAATCTCTTTCCATGATTAAATCTAAAACAAAAAGACATTAAAAAATCAGAGTAAAACAATTTAGCTGTCTACTTTTACTCTTAAGCTGCAGCAAACTAAGTCCCTTGAAGCTCTTATTAAGATACTTGAGCAAACTTATAATCATTGTATTGAACTGTGCATCTAGTAGTTTGCTTGCTTCTATTTCATTAACACTGAGTCTGCCCCCTGAGTGTGTCCCTCATGCCATATGACCAGCACCTAACATATATTATTTCAATAAATATTTGCCAAATGAATGCATGAATAACGGAAACTAAATTCATGGTGAACAAATACAACGCTGTGCTAGCATCCCTCTATGATCTCTACAGCAGCAAGTTGTTGGTTTTTCTAATTTAAACTGTAAGCTTCTTCAGAATAAAAATTATCTTCAATTTCTTTTATTTCTTCCATAATGAACACATAGTAGCAGAGTAATTGTGTAGAGCTGAGATCACAGCATCAATTATAAAGGAGGAAATATTGAAAGATAGTCTTAGCCAAAACTGGTTTGGCTCAGTGGTAGAGCGTTGGTCTGTGGACTGAAAGGTCCCAAGTTCAATTCCGGTCAAGAGCATGTACATTGGTTGCGGGCACATCCCCTGTGGGGGTTGTGCAGGAGGCAGCTGGTCGATGTTTCTCTCTCATGGACGTTTCTAGCTCTATCTCTCTCCCTTCCCCTCTGAAAAAAATCAATAAAATATATTAAAAAAATAAAAAAAGAAAGATAGTCTTAAAGGAGGAAAGTCAATGATATCAATCAATAACAAATTTAAAAGATACTCTCAGCTTCAATCATAATATCTGAAAGTTAATATTAGAAAAAGCGAGCAAAATTAAAAAGGCATATTTGGTTTCCATTTCTTGAAAGAAGCCTATTTACCTTTCAATTACAAATAGTCATTTCTTCCTAAGTGTCAAACATCTAACTTTGTTTTTGTCATGATAAGCTATTTGAGAATTGTATTAGCTGGATTTGTAAGGAGACAGACACTTGCCTGTTATTGTGTCAGCCTCTCTGAATTTTGTATTGCAATCGTCACCGCTCCAGCCACTCTCACAATGGCATTCCTTCTCAGACGTGCACACCTAGGACCATTTTTTATATGTTAAATGATCATATAAAAATATATTCTCATAAAAAGTAATATTATCAAATGGATCATCAAGCTTACTTGTATTTTTATCTGATGCCATTCTATTTATTATATTTACGTAGAGAGATAAGCCTATAAACCAAATACTTGATTTCTTAGCTTAAATAACATGCACACACAGAGAGACACAGGCATACACATACACACATGACATCTAAATAAAGCTATGAATTTAGGCTCACAATATTTGCATCAAGAAAATTTTACATCTTGAAATGTTCACCTGAAATTTTAGTGTGCAATTTCAAAAACGCGTTCTTAAATTCCAGTGAAAGATGCTTCCAGTGGTGTGCCAGAGGCCGGCTGGTACCACTTTCCAGAGCTGAACCTCTAAGAGCAGGGTCATTGTCCTGTGGTAACTTGAAATATCTGCACTTACAAACGAGGAGTTCACCCTCTCCCAGGAGTAGTTTTTAAACATGTATGAGCATAACACTGCCTAAGCCATTATCTTGTTTTATTTTGTTTGCCTTTATTTGTTTGAATTTAAAGCAAAAGCTTTTTGTGTTACAAGAGGAACTCATTAGGAACTGATGGTTTCTGCTACTGGTAATTATTATATCATAGCAAACACCTTTATGGTGCCTACTATGTGAGTCACTTTATACAGATTTACTCGTTAAATCCTCACAACAAGCCTTGAGGTCAGGACTCCATCATTCCTACTTTACAGATGAAGAATCTGGGGCATAGATATTTAACTTGCCAAAAGCCACACAGATGGTAAGTGATAGAGCCAGGAAACCAAGCAGTGGAGTTTCAGAAACCCTGCCCTGACTACTATGCTGCTACTTCTCAACGCAATATAAAATATCACTCAGTTTCTAAGATTTCAACTTAAGAACATGAAACTAATTTCACTGTTCCAAGCTTAAATGTACAGGGGGAAAGTACTCTGTTCAAGGTATCCAATGCTCCAGATTCTGTCATATAACCTTCATATTGGAAGGAAGAAAAGGAGGAAAGAGAGAAAGAAGGGAGGGAGGGAGAGAGGAAGAGGGAAGAAAATTAACCCTTTAATTAATAGTCAGCACTCCAGCAGAAAGTTTGTCCATAGAGATAATGAAGAGGCTTGAGAGGTTGGGTACAAAGTGAACAAGTGCCCAGCTTCCAGCAGCAGAGCAACTGTGCCTTCCTTACCCAAAGCCAGTGAGTGTCTCCCTCAGCATCGGGTGTCAGATAAACCAGCTCCAGCAACCTGTTTATTGATAGGATACAAAGGGCCACAACTGCAGGTGTCCAGATGAACAGCACTCAGAAGACAACTGGGAACTTGACAGGCCTTCGTAGTGGGACACAGAAGAAGCCTCATTACATGAAACCGTTAGGAATGTGAGCAAAAACTCAGTGACCCCACCATGTAAATTTAAAGGCCATGTGTTCCCTTCACGACAGAACGACTCATCTAGGCATCAGCAAAGAAGAGAGTCTTCTATTTCCTCAGAGGCTGCACAGGGATAAATAGCACCTTGATGACAGCCCAGCCGCTGGGCTTTCACCACTGCACCATAGACCTACACAGCTGCAGGTCAGCAACAGCAGAAACAGCCATGAGGAGAAGCACGCCAAGCTTGCAGCACATAAATTAGCAAGAAGACTGAATGTTTAAATGCAGAGCTATAATCCAGAAGGAGAAGCTTCAAAGAAATACTCAAAAGTAAAGGGATGAAGATGATGACCAGTCCTCTAAGGGTGAATTTTGAAGATGGGCATTGGGATACTCTCTTGATTCTCTGCCTGTTGAGATGTAATTTTCTTACATCAGACTTTCTAACAAGCTCAGTGTTGTTTTTATATCATGTCTTCATTGTTGTTATGTCATTTTTTATTGTTTATTAATGAATTTGTACATTATTTTCACATACATTTTACTAATTTCCTTTCATCTGTGACACTTCAGCAATATTAAAATATTTCCTCTAGTTAACTCCCTTTGATGTGTATGAATTTCAAGCACCAGGCCACTAGTCATTATACAATTATCTATAATTATAACTAATTGTATATCTCCTAAGAAACTACAATATGCCAGCCTTAGCTGGTTTGGCTCTGTCAGCCTGCAGACTGAAAGATCCCGGGTTTGATTCAGGTCAAGAGCATATGCCCAGGTTGTGGGCTGGATCCCCAGTAAGGGGTGTGAAGGAGGCAGTCAATCATGATTCTCTCTCATCATTTATGTTTCCATCTCTCTCTCCATTTCTGAACTCAATAAAAAAATATGTATTTTTTAAAACTACATTATGATGATGTTGATGATCAACATAATTTGATGAACAAGAATAGATCCAGAGAGATGGCAGGGGCCATCCAAAGGACTTGTATGCATGCATATTAGCATAACCAATGGACACAGACTCTGGAGTGGTGGGGGCTAGCCTAGCAGGTTTGGCTCATTAGATAGAGCATTGGCCTGTGGACTGAGGGACCTAGGTTTGATTCTGGTCAAGGGCACATGTCTGAGTTGAGGTCTTGATCCCCATAGAAGACATGCAGGAGGCAATCAGTGATACTTTCTTATCACTCATGTTTCTATCTCTCCCTCTCCCTTCCTCTCTGAAATCGGTAAAAATATCTTTTTATAAAACAAAGACTTAACTAAATTCTGCCTTCAAGAGACTGACTTCAGTTTTAAGAACACACATAGGCTCAACATAGAAATTAAAATATATTCCATGAAATCAGAAATTAAAAGAAAGATGGGGTGGGTAGCTATCTATCTATATCTATCTATCTATCTATCTATCTATCTATCTATCTAGCCAGCAACCACGACGAATGGAACAACTGACTACCAGTCACTATGACATCCACTGTGGCCTGCCTACCGGCCTGATCAAGGGGTGGGCGCCGCTGGCCAACCTCCTGCAGCGAGCCGAACTGCCCCTGACTGGACTCTCCCACCCTGATCAAGGGCAGGGCCAGCCAGCCAAATACCCCCATACACCCCTGCCCTTCCTCTCAGCCAGCCCCATCCCCAGTTAGCCAACCCCACCCCTGATCTACCCGTCCCACCACGATAGGCCCACAGCCCCTCCCCCAGCTGGCTTCGCCCCTGATTGCACCCCATCCCAATAGTAGGCCAACCCCCTGCAGCCCCATCCCAGCCGACCCCTCCCCAATGGGCTCCCACCACCCTGATCGGCCTGAAGTTCCTCTCCCTGGCCTGCTCCACTCCTGATCTCTTTCCCAACCCATTAGAGGGCGGGGTCAGCTGGCCAACCTCCTTCAGCACCTGGCCCTGCCCAGTCCCACCCCAGATTGGCCCCCAACCCTGATCATGGGCAGGGTCAACTGGCCAACAACCCATGGCCCCTCCCCCAGGCCTCTAGCCCCCAATCGGCCCCCAACCCCAATCAGTGGGTCCACCAGCCAATCACCCATGGGCCCTCCCACCAATTGGTCTGGCCCTGATCAGGCCCCAATCAGGGCCTGCCAGCCAACCAACCTCCCGCCATCTCCTCCTCATGACAGGCCCAGCCCTAATCTGCCCCAACTGGGGCGGGGCTGTCTGGATCCCACCCATGCACAAATTAGAGCACTGGGCAATCTACATAATAAAGAGCTAATATGCTAATTAGAACAAACAGCAGAAGAACCATCCCAACGACCTTCCAAACGAAGCTGGGACTGCGAGAGCCAAACCCCTTGCACAAATTTCATGCATCGGGCCTCTAGTCCTTATATAAGACAAAATAGACTTCAATCCAAAATAGTGAAAAGATAAAACAAAGGTCATTATATAAAGATAAAGGGTCAACACTTTTAAAAGACATAACAGTCATAATACACACACTCAACTGTGGAGCACCTAATATATTAAGCAAATATTAACAGATCTGAAAGAAGAAATTGAGAGCAATATAATAAAAGTGGGATACTTCAATATACCACTTTCCACAACAGATATTAATCCAGACAAAAAAAATCACAAAGCAATGTGGTGAGGAGACTAACTGAACTAGGTATGTAACTAAACCCAGGTAAGGCCCCCGGGGATATGTAACCGAATCCAGTTAAGACCACTGTGTTAACTTCTAAAATTCTGGTGGGCTTGTGTAGAAAACTATTTCTCTTGTGGCTGCCCAAGATAAGCCTGTAAGTTTTCTTGATTATTAAACCTGCCACCTACCAATTGGAATGGTCTGCCTTTTTCTTCAGTCTCTCCCTACCTTCCACATATGGGGGCCAGTTTCAGGTTATACACATGAAGCTTGGCAGGAGGTTGCAACCCAACACTAGCATGTAGTAGGAACCCAATAAATGTTGAATAAATTAATTAGTGATGCTGAAAACTGTCCAAAATTAATGTGATTTGGGGAAACATATGTCAATCATGTGCTTACTTACTCCATGTCCACTGCATTTTGCTGAACAATTAAGGGAATCCTTCTTAAGAAACCTCGCTTCTACACACTCACGATTTATGCAAACCTAATGAAAAAATTTCCAAGTCAGAGAAGTTCAGCTATCTTCACATTTTAATCAGTAATTTTATAACATAAGATCATAACCATTCACTGCAAAAAAAAAAAAAAAATATATATATATATATATATATATATATATATATATATATCCATTTAAGTACTGTTTTGCTATACCCCACAAGTTTTTATGGTTTATTGTCATTTCATTCAAAATATTTTTCAATTTTTCTTGAGATTCCACCTTTCAGAATGTGTTACTTAATCTCTAAGTATTGTGAAATTTTTCACATAACTCCAATGTAAACCATACACTCTGGGTGATAGTGATAAGTCAGTGTAGGTTCAACTATTACAAATGTACCAACAATGTTTTATAATATAGGATTAATAGTATCATTAAAGGTTACCTAGTAAAATTTGTTTTCACACATTATCACTGAAAAAATTACCCATGTTATGGAAAAGATTCTATTCTTACTATATTGCCAACTGAATAATATCAAATCATCTTTTGATTTATTTTCCTTTTAGAAACATATTTTTATTTTTTTAAAAATAATTTCACAAATCATTTTGTAGCTCTACTCTGCAGAGAATTATGATAACAATTTTAATTATTTTTTAACTTATTTGTATTGTTGATACTCACTTTAATTCTTATTTTTATTGTTGACACTATTATAGCTCTCCCCATCCTCTCACCCCTTCCCCCACCTCCACCCAGCCTCCACACCCTCCTTCCATTTGGCCATCACCATGATGTTGTCTGAATCTATTGGTTATGCATTTATGTTCTTTGGCTAATCTCTTTACCTTCTTCCTTCCAATCCCCTTTCGTACCCCCCTCTTCACAACCCCTCTTAGCTGTCAATCTATTCCATGTATCCATATCTCTGTTTCTATTTTGTTCACACAGATTCCTCATATAAGTGAGATCATATGGTATGGGCACGTGGGCTGTTTCCAAATCTTACCTATTATAAATTACACTGCTATGAACATAGGGGTGCATATATTCTTTCTGATTGGTGTTTTTGGCTTCTTAGGCTACATTCTTAGAAGTGGGATCACTGAAACATTGAAATTCTGAAAAGGATCCTATAATATATAACATTGTTTTGGCTCCATGGCCATTTTTAATTTTCTGAGCTGCAGAAATATTAATATAATAAAATCTGGATTCCCTCCCCCCTTTATAAGGCATATGACCCTATTAGAAGTTTCTCTAAGTGCACATCAGTATATGAGTGGATAAAAAAGGTGGTACATTTACACAATAGAATACTATGCAGGTGTAAAAAAGAAGGAATTCCTACCTTTTGCAACAGCATAGATGAAACTGGAGATTATTATGCTAAGTGAAATAAGCCATTTAAAGAAAGACAAATACCATATGCTCTCACTTATATGTGGAATCTAATTTAAAAAAATAAACTGATGAACAAAATAAAAGCAGAAGCATGGAGAACTATTTTATTTTTACTTGTTTTGGCTTCATGGCCTAACTATATCTACCAAGCTCCCGGTCACAGCCCTCCTTTGAGAAGGTATTCGTGACTCCTAGGCAGGAAGCAGCAGCCTGGCAAAGATCTGGTCAGGAATAAAATGAAACTTTGCAGTGAATTTATTCCCTCTATGTTTTCTCCAGATTTGTGTCGGCCTCAGAAATAATGACTTATAATAACAATACATAATAATAGCCAACCTGTATTTAACTCTTACAATGTGCTAATCCCTTTACACTGTTATCTAATTTAATCTTCTCATTAACCCCACAGAGTAAAAGCTATCATTATGCCCACTTTACATATAGTTGTAGTATCTCAACTGGTTAAGCAACTAGCAAGATGTCAAAACATAAGAAGTGAATAGTTGATTCTATGCAGTATGAAAATTAACTTGTGATCTTATCTCCTGGCCCACAAAGAGACACATATTACCCAGTTTTACTTTTATTACTTTCCACATACTACTTTTTACAAGAAGAAAAGTGAATTTCCATGCTAGAGAATACTTAACTACAATGTATTTCCAAAATCTCTCCCCTCCCCACCCCAATCCTAAAATAGTTGGTATTTTCCTTGTTCACAACATTCAAATTCTGAAAAGGATCAAACTGTTCCATTTCCCTCTTAATATCTGGAGCCTTACTAAAGCTTATTTTCTCTTTCTCCAAATATTTAAGGTTATATAGCACTACAAATAAATTTAAAATTTGATACTGAAAATGTGTTAAAGCAATAAATTTAATTTAATTTTTAAAATAAATTTTAGATCACTTACTCTCTCAGTATCACATTCAGAACCATCATTGACCACCAGTGGATCTACCACTGAGCCATGAAGACTGTAGTCTAAAGTTATACATATAACATTTCGTACATAAGCGTAAAGCACAGCAACATCTTTTTGAATGTATGGAGTTCGAGTAGGGTAGGTACAAATTAATCTTCCACATATAAGATTCCTACAAATATAATAACATTATATTATTATTATTATTATATATTAGGCATTTCTTGAAAATGCTTCAGATTTGCTTTCTATGAAAAAAATATAAATAATGGTTCATAATATATGGCAACATGTTTAGGAAAAACGTAATGCTTTAACACTAACACTTAAAGTAAAAAAGTATAAAGCTGTTGATTACCTTCCAATGCTACTAATGGCCTTTTATTCACTGTGCGGATTTATATCTTATTGTCAAGTAATCAATTCATGCAAGCACTTTATAGGATCTTATGATACACAAAATAGACTCATACCCTTAAATGTCATGTTTTGTTGAGTTGTTCATTTGAAACCTGAATGATTTGGTGGACCAATTTCACCCCAATAAATTCAATTTTTAAAAAGGATAATTGTTTGTTTGTTTAAAAAAATGAAATTAACAAATTCTTAGAGATATTTAAGGTGAGGACACATTCCTGACTGCTAAATTACATTCCTGACTGCTATATTACTTCAAAGAGAACAAGCCATCTGAGTCAAAGCTTACAAGTTAGTAGGATTTTAACAGAGTAAGGCATTTCTAAACAAAAGTAAAAGCATAAGCAAATCAAGGAAATATAAAACTACATAATATATTTACTTGCCTACAAATTCCATAAGCACAAGGGCCATGTGTCATTTTCTAACTAGTATCTAGCCCAGTATCCAGCACATAGGTTATTAATAAATGTTTATTAAAACAAATTGATGACCAATATGTCAAAGAGCTGGCTCTTCAGATGCAGGAAAAGATTTATTTTATTAATTTACCTTTACTACTAAAGTACAAATGTCTCCCTCCTCCCCCAATGAACTTTTTCCAACTTGCACCTGCAATCCACGCCTCCCCCACTTCCAAGGTCTGCACCACACTACTGTCTATATGCTCGTGGGTTATACATACATGCATATACATGATCTCACTCATACATATGATCTAATGAACAAAATAAACTGATGAACAAAACAGATCCAGAGACATAGAAGCACGGAACAAACTGATGAATCTCAGATGGAAGAAGGGTTGGGTGGGTGGGAGGAGATTAACCAAAAATGAACGTCATTTTAAAGACACTGGGCAGTCTTCAACTTAGGCAAGCAATTAAATGAATGAGAACAGTATTTTTATAAAGAAAAATGAGCAGGCTCAGAAAGGAAAGGTGCAATAGATATTAGTTTCAATTACTTATTGGATTTAGGAGCCTATGGTCATCTACATGTGCTTACAACTGGATGTAAATTTAAGCTTGTAGCACAAGAAAGATGTCAGAGCAAAGATTTTGACCTGAGATTCATTCCCATACACATGTCATACTTGAAACCACTGGCATGAATGACACATAGAAAGAAAAACTAGTTCTGGCCAGTGTGACTCAGTTGGTTGGAGCATCATCCTGTACACAAAAAGGCTGTGGGTGCGTTTCCTGATCAGGGCACATTCCCCAATCAAGGCATGTATGGAGGCAACCGATCAATGTTTCTCTCTCGCATTAATGTTTGTCTCCCTCTTTCTCTCTCTCCCAAAAATCAATTTTTAAAAAACTAAAGACAAAATCTTATTGAACAAAATTATATTTAATATTTGCATAGCATACCTCCATTGGCAGAATTTATATTGGCCTTTTTCCTTACCGCAGTTCCCAAACCTATCAATTTGAGATTGTATTTCTTCATAGCAGGCAAATGGAGCATTTTGTGAACCTGTCAATGTTTAAAATATATTTGGATTAAAATTCCCTTTCTTTTTCATCTTCTTTGCCTCAAGATATTATTTCTCCTTTTCCTTTATTATTTAATTCAAAAAATGTTCCCAATGAGGTTGTTGAAAAATAGAAAAATTAAAGTGAAAGGGTAATGGTCATGTTATTCCTCCTTTCGCTTCATTTTCTGTTCTTTTCATCACAAAAGATATAAGGGGTAAGAAGAATCACAGAAGTGTAAACCATGGTCTGTGAGAGAGAGCAATAAAAAGATAACACAAGAAAATTATACTTGTTCTCCTAGATTTTGAGTAAAAAGCCAGGTCTATAATGTAATCTCATTGAATAAACCTCATTGTATCTTCAAGAAGTCTTTTAAAAAGGACCAAAATTGCCAATCTTTATATTTAACTATTTTTTTACTTTGTTACTATATTAGTTTTTTATTGTTTTGCAAAAGACTACCAAAATATTGGTAGCTTACAACCCATTTATAATGTCAGTTTTTAGAAGTCAGACGTGCAGCAAGGCAGAAGTGATTTCTCTAACTCAAGGTCTTATTAGAAGTTATCCGCTGAGGCTAAAGTCTTCCTGTGAGCTCACTGATTATTGGTGGAATTCAGGGTTGTTGTTTTTTCTTGTTTCCGTTGTTGTTGGAATTAATAGCTTCATTTTCTTACTATCTGCCAAGAGTTGATCTTGGCTCCTAGGAATTTCCCCCAGGTCTCAGTCACATGTCCTTTCAAAACATGGCAGCTTAGCCCAACCACCATTGTTCAGTGGTTGAGCATCAACCTATGAATCATGAGGTCATGATTCAATTATGTCAGGTCACATGCCCGGGTAGTGGGCTCGATCCCCAGTGTAGGGCATACAGGAGGCATCTGATCATGATTCTCATCATTGATGTTCCTCTCTCTCTCCATCCCTCCCTTCCTCCCTCCCTCCTTGAAATCAATTTTAAAAAATATAACACAAAAATGCAGCTTATTTTTTCCAAGCCAGCAAGAGAATCTGCCATCTCCCATCTTTTAAGTGCTCACATAATTAAGTCAGACCCACTCAGAATAATCTCAATTCAATCAAAGTTAACTGATGGTGGACCTTACACACATCTTCAAAACTCCTTAGTCACTATATAATGTAATCACAAGGATGATATCCCATCATATGTTCACTGTTTCTGCACAAATTCAAATGGTACTATCCAAAGCATGTATAGCAGGAGAGTCTGGGGGCCATTTTAGAATTCTGCACAGCCCAGTTACCTACTCTAAGATGAGTCTCACTAAGCATAACTGCTTCATCCACAAAGCAGATAATAATGTCTACCTCAGTAGATTGTTATGAGGATTAAGACAATGCTTATTTAGTCACTGTTAGTTCTCAGCTAATCCTTCTCTATTTTTAAGATCAAGAGGTTTCTCCTGCCGAAACTGGTTTGGCTCAATGGATAGAGCGTCGGCCAGTGGACTGAAAAGTTCTGGGTTCGATTCCAGTCAAGAGCATGTACCTTGGTTGCAGGCACATCTCCAGTGGAATTGTGCAGGAGGCAGCTGATCAATGTTTCTCTCTCATTGATGTTTCTAACTCTCTATCCCTTTCCTTTCCTCTCTGTAAAAAATCAATTATATATATATATATATATATATATATATATATATATATATATATATATATATATGTATATATATATATTTAAGAGGTTTCTCCTGTTTACCTGCCCTTTCCATGATTTACATTTCCCCCCACTATTTTCTTAATGTTTTATCTTCTCCTAACTCAATATCTTTCCACCATTTTTAAACATTGGTCCATTGTATATATACCATAAAGACAGGCAATATTATTTTTTAGAATTATATATATATATATATATATATATATATATATATATATATATGCCTAAGCATTCATTATTTCAGAATGACCTGTACAACCGGTTTCTATGACACATATTAAGCAGGCAGGCAGGCAAGCAGTTAAGAGCCAGCAGTCCTGGATTGTGAGAGGGTGCAGGCCAGGGTGAGGGACCCCTCCCCCATGCAGGAATTTCATACACTGGGTCTCTATTGTTTAATAAGTTCAATTGTGACTCTGAGATGCCAGGTTAGGAATGTCAATGCAGAAATTGTTAAACATCATGATAATATCCAGGGAAATTCAGAAATTGAGTAATTCAGCCCAGTTTGGAGAGAAACTATAAAAAAATATGTTAGTCACAGAGAAATCAGATGAATTCTGTTAAAAGTGATGTTTTTCATCTGGCCCAATTCTTATTAGTCCATCTATTGCACTTAAAAGTACCAATGAACCATATTATTAACTTCCCCTTCAAAGCTGCTCATTAGTTAGGGACTTTGTCTCAGATCAGTCTGAGTTTTCATCAGATGAAAACACCGGAAGAGCAGCACTTTGCAAATGTGAAATCACATGTTAAATATTCCCTTAAGTCCACCATACTGACCAAGTCTACTGAGTAAAAGAATTTGCCCTTTGATATTTCAAATAATATAATTAGATTCTCTGCACTCTATTATCAAAGAACTAGAAGCCCAATGCACAAAGATTTGTACAAAAATAGGGCTTTCTTCCCCTGGCTTTCAGCACCCAGTGGGCTCGCTCTGGCAGCCTGTGCAGCAGAGACGGTAGTGGCAAACCCTGCACACTCCAGTGTTGCTTCCTCCTCGCCCTCCTTCTCGGGAGAATTCCTCTGTGCGGCACTGGCATTCCCGGGGAGCTGTGGAGGGCAAGAGGTGGGGGAATGAGGCAGGCTGGGAGGATTGAAGAGGTTGAGTGCACTAGTGAATTTCACTTTCCCATTGTGAAAGTGGGATGCAACTGGCTCCCTTTCTCATTCTCTTCCTCCTCTGCCCTCCACTTTCTACCTTCCCGCCCTCCCTCCATGCCCATCGCCCCTCCCCTCTTGATTTGACGAGATAGGGAGGAGGGAGATTTGATAATTTGGGTTACTGTGTAGGTGGCCTCTTTCATCTATTCAAAACAAAGCTGAGCTGCCTGCCACTGCCATCACAGCCGCCACCATCTCACTTTGGCTGGCCTGGGGTTCCTGGGGAGTACTAACTGTACACCAAGCAAGCTCCCACATACATCTGTGCCTGTGGGGCTGCTCTAACACTAGGGTTTTGCTTACCAGAGCAGCAGGGCGGGGTGAGGTAGAGGGAGATGACAGACCCTGGGAGCTATGACCTCAGGCACAGGAAGGTTGCCTCTGAAGCTGGAGGCTACCACAGGGAGGCTGCAAGGATGGTTGACAGGTGTGGAGTGCAGCAGTGAGGCCCTGAGGAGGTGTGCTGCCCAGAGCCCTGGAGTGGCCAGGAGGTGCTGCCATTTTTGTTGGGTTAATTTGCATACTCAGTCCTGATTGGCTGTGGGCATTGCGACGTTACAGTCAATTTACATATTTCTCTTTTATTAGTATAGGTATGAGGTACAATAAAATACTGAACATAACCTAACATCTGACTCACCTCATCTCATGACTAATAGGCATTTACAAGTGAACATATCCTAAAACCAAATTCTGTTTTACCCCTAAACTTGTTTCAGTTTATGAAGCCATTTAGGCAACCAAATATTCAGGCTAACACTTAGGGATCATCCTTTATTTACTTTATCCCTCATTTCCTACCTCTACTATGTAATCCAACTTTTATTGACATTGCCTCCTAAATACAGCCTGTGCATGGCCTCTCTCTCTCTCTCTCTCTCTCTCTCTCTCTCTCACCTTCTTCATGGCCATCAAAGGCACAAACTTCATTATAAGATGACTAAGTTCTGAAAAATCTAATGTATGCCATTTAGGTGTATTATGTACTTACAATTATATACTAGAAAGTATCTTACATACTTGAAGGTTGCTAAGAGATCAAATCTTAAATATTCTCACCACACAACAAAAGGCTTGGTAATTATGTGACATGATGAAAAATATTATCTAAATGTTATGGAGCTAATCACTTTATAATATCTGAGAATCAGATCAACACATTGTAAACTAAACTTATACAATGTTATATGTCAATTATATCTCAATAAAGGTGGGGGTAAGAAAGACTTAAATATTAAGACTTGTAACAATAAAAGTCCTAGAAGAAAACATAAGAAAAAAAGCTCCTGGAGGAGGTAAGATGGCGGAAGAATAGATGGACGGATTCTGAGCCCTCTCCCAAAGCAGAAAGAGAGAGCAACTGAGGGTCTTGTGCTGTGAGTGTTTATCGGCAAGCTGGGGGACAGTGAACACCAGAAGAAACTGCTGGGGGGCTGCTGACAGAGGTGCCCCTCACAGGGAAGCACCCACGAGGGCTGTGTCCCTGCCCGGAGCTACCTACCAGCTTGGACAGTGAAACCTCGCCATTTTGAGAGGTAGATAGGATCGTGTCAGAGGCCTGAATATCCACAGCCTCAGCGACCACCAAGCATCTGTGACCCCCAGAACGCGGATCCCAGGCGGTGAGAACACCTGCCCTCACAGGATTGCCCCACTGCTCAGCAAAAAGGTCAGATTTCGCGGGGAGAGGGTGGAGAGCCCTCGCGGCGAAAACAAAAAGCCTGCGCGCACAGAGCGAGCTCGGAAGCTGGAGGACAAGGGCGGTGATTACAAGTAGAAGCCCCCGCTGTTGGGCTGTTGTCACCCTTGAAAGAGGACAGGGCTCCTAACAGGGGAGATATCTAAAGAGCAACACATTTGGATCCGGCTCAGAGGGATATCGGAGAGTTGCGGGAGATTCCAGTTGCTCGGACCTACCCCCTACCCCCCTCAGTAGTTCCAGCTTCAGAGAAGACAAAAAAAAAAAAAAAAAAGCTGGAGAGGTTCAGAGTCTGGAAGTCAACCTAGAAACACTGCCCCCAGAGGCTAATTCACAAATTGACTCTAGTGTAATAAAAACAAAGCAAAACCTGCCTAAAAATCAGGACTGGATCATAACAATAGAGGAAGCGAATGACCTTCATTACTGCAAATTTTAATTAAATTTTTTA